AGCTGATGCTGGAGATAAACTCAGCCTTGAGCCAATTCTCTGATCCCTGATCACCACCAGCAGCTCAGGGGTGTCCTGTGCTCCTGAGGCTGTGCAGGTGTAAAGGTAATTAATTTCTGAGCAGGTGGAAAGGTAATTCCTTTCTGAGCAGGCGTAAAATGAATTCCTTTTTTCAGCTTCAGTGTAAAGGTAATTCCTTTCTGTGCAGGTGTAAACTTAATTCCCTTCTATGCAGGTGTAAAGTTAACTCCTTTCTTCACCTCCAGTGTAAAGATAATTCCTTTCTTTGCCTCCAGTGTAAAGTGAATTCCTTTCTGTACAGGTGTAAAGTTAATCCTTTCTTCACCTGCAGTGTAAAGTTAATTCCTTTCTGTATAGGTGTAAAGTTATTTCCTTTCTTCATCTCCAGTGTAAAGTAAATTCCTTTCTGTGCAGGTGTAAAGTTAATTTGTTTCTGTGCAGTGTAAAGTTAATTCCTTTCTGTGCAGGTGTAAAGTTATTTCCTTTCTTCACCTTCAGTGTAAAGTTAAATCCTTTCCTCATCTCCAGTGTAAAGTTAATTCCATTCTGTGCAGGTGTAAAGTTAATTAATTTCTTCACCTTCAGTGTAAAGTTAATTCCCTTCTGTGCAGGTGTAAAGTTAATTCCTTTCTTCACCTCCAGTATAAATTAAATTCCTTTCTGTGCAGTGTAAAGTGAATTCCTTTCTGTGCAGGTGTAAAGTTATTTCCTTTCTTCACCTTCAGTAAAAAGTTAATTCTTTCTGTGCAGGTGTAAAGTTAATTAATTTCTTCACCTTCAGTGTAAAGTTAATTTATTTCTGTGCAGGTGTAAAGTTCATTCCTTTCCTCACCTTCACCTGCTCCCAGTTCCTTCCATCCCCTTCCCCTGCTGTCTCCTTTAGGCCCAGCTTTGGCCAAAAGCCTTTAATCCCCCCAGGCTTTTATAAAAACACTTCCAAAAATCCTCTGGCATTCCCTCAGCCCTGCCCATGGCCTGTGAATAGAATTTCTGTTTGATTTTAAGTGAGGAGCAGATTTTTCATTCCTTTTTTTGTTCAGTACTGAGTTCACAGTGCCTGGATGCTGCCCTGAAGGTTTTTTCCCCTGAGTCCCTGAGAAGGAGGGAAACAACTTATAAATAAATAATAATAACTTATAAAGAATAATAACTTATAAAGAATAATAACTTATAAATAAATAATAATAACTTAATTGAAGCAACCTGGGATAGTGGAAAGTGCTTATTAAGTGGAAAAAATGAAGGGAAAATCCCTTTTTCTTTAACTGAAGGAGTGTCCAGCTGCTGTTTTCACACCTCTCTTGTTGAACTTCCCTTTGGGGATGTCACACACAGCGAGAATCAGCCCTGGAAGTGCCAAAAATACAATTTATCTGCAAAAAATCACCAGCCACGTTTTCATTTAAACATTTTTTTTTCCTGCTGTTTGGCTGAGAAAATAAACAGCAGCTGAAATATCTGATTTTAGTGCTGGGTGTTGGTGGGTTGGCAGAGCTCTGGGGCTGTTGAAAAGCAATTGGAATAATAAGTGGAAAAATTGGGACTTTCTCCCTGAAAATGTATTTTTAATTGCAGCTGCTGTATCTTAAAATTCAGCCTGGAATTACAATTTCAGCATCTGAAGTGCAACATTTCAAGCACAGTAGGTGGCATCACAAGGGTTCTTTAGAATTCAGTTTTTGGGTGTTTGTTCTCCAGCCCATGGAATGAAAAAAGAGAAAATTCCAGGTGATCCCTTCCTGACAAAAAGCTTTGGACTGGATGTGATCTGACCCAAATATAATCTGAAATGTTAAAAAGTGCATTAGAGTTGCATTGAGTGAACAGAAATTAATTATAATTTTAATTTTTATGGCATTTTTAACAGTAGTACTGTTGCCAGACAGAAGTCATTTTGAATTTTTAAAACCTTTTATACAACCACTATATAATTTTAATATGTGTTTTTTTAATGTTGCTGAAACAGAAGTAAATTTGGTGGCGTTTTCAGTGCTTTAATAACGTAGAAATCTGCAGAAACACTGTGCAGAAGTTTAAAAACCACTTGGTGTCCTCCAGGAGTAGATGGTTCATGGAATCAGAGTGGTTCCTAAGGGAGGGACCTTGGGGATCAGCCAGTGCCACCCCGGGCAGGGACACCTTGCACTGTCCCAGGCTGCTCCAGCCTGGCCTTGGGCACCTCCAGGGATGGAGGGGGGCATTGAGCAACCTTTAAATCATGAAAAAAATAAAATTAAACCTTAGATTTCATAATTTTTGTAGTTAAAAGAAGGTATCTGTCACAGCACACTGCCAGAACACAACTGGAAAATAGACATGGAAGGTGTGGAAAACAGCAGGAGGGGATGAGGGAGCTGGGAAGGAGGGAACGGCCTCAGGCTGGGCCAGGGCAGGCTCAGCTGGGACACTGGAAAGAATTTGTATATAAATAAAAAAGTCTAAATATAAATGTATATACTTTATGGGATGCGTGTAAATTTATCTAAAATTTATATACAATTTAGATAAAATTATATGTATTTTAATATAAAGTTAATATAAAATAATAAATTTTATACAAAATTTATATAGAATTACGACGAATTATTATATAAATTTACATACATTTATATACTTTTTACAATTTATAGAAATGTATCCAAATTTTATATAAAATGTATATAAAATTGTATACAAAATTTATAAAAAAATATAATTTTTTAATAAAGTTTATAGAATTATATATTATATATTAATTATATATTATATATTAATTATATATTATATATCATATATAATTATATATTTATATATTAAATATATATATTATATATTAATATTATATGTTAATATTATATATTAATTATATATATAATTCTATATAAATTCATATAATTTATACCACAAAAGTGGTCAGGCCTTGGGCTGAGCTGCCCAGGGAGGTTTGGAGTCACTGGGATTGTCCCAGAGGAGTCTGGATGTGGCCTTGGGGACAGGCTTTGGGGTGATGCTGCTGGGGCTGGATGGTGCTGAAAGGTTCTTCCCACCTCTGGAATTCTGGGGTTGTGGGGTCAGCCTGAGCTCCTGAGCCTGAATTTTGGGATAGTGGGATCAGCCTGAGCTCCTGAGCCTGAATTCTGGGGTCAGCCTGAGCTCCTGAGCCGGGATTCTGGGGTCAGCCTGAGCTCCTGAGGCTGAATTTTGGGATAGTGGGATCAGCCTGAGCTCCTGAGCCTGAATTCTGGGATTCTGATTCTGGGATCCGCCTGAGCTCCTGTGCCAGTATCAGCCAAACCCCCTGAGGTTCTCCCTGCAGAGCTCCCAGCCCTGTGGGTGTCACGGAGCTCCAGGCCCTGTCCCTGTCCCCTCCCTGTCCCCGAGCTCACCCTGGGCACAGCTGGTGCCTGGTGGTGCCAAAGGCACTCCAGGTGCCACCGCAGCAGGATCCTGCTGCTCCACAGGACAAACATCTCCCTGCATCCTCAGGAGGACCCTCGGTCACCTCAGCTCTGCCAGGGCTGGGCCAGCTGCCCAAAGTTCCTCTGATTTTCTTCACCCTCCGGCTCAGAGGACCCTCAGGGAGCAGCATACCCAGCACAGCCTGCCAGGCCCTGGCACCGGCTGCCCACTGAGGTTGTGGATTCTCCACCCCTGGCAGTGCCCAAGGCCAGGTTGGATGGGGTTTGGAGCAGCCTGGCACAGTGGAAGGTGTCCCTGCCATGGCAGGGGTGGCACTGGAGGCTTTGAGGTCCCTCCCAGCCCAAACCGGTCTGGGATGGGGTTGGGTGCACAGCTGGCAGCACAGCTGGGCAAGGGCAGCAGGGTTGTGGCAGCTCCTGCACCTCCAGAGATCCATCTGGGAAGGAGCTGGTTCTTGGCTCCTTGTCTGCCTCTGTCACGGTCAGGATTGAAGCGCTCCAGGCATTTTGTGTTCAGACTCGGATGTTTATTGGTTCTTATCTGGATTGCAAAGTGTGAGTTCTACAGCGTTCTACTAACAAGCTACAAAATGGCTAAATCTCTCTCTCTGCAAGGCCTTTGAAGGATAGACTGTCCAATTAAGAAATGACACCTCAATTATTTTCACTTTTAACCCAATACCCAACCACCCGTGCCCGCAATGGGGACTTTTTTATCCAATGACACAAAACCACCCAAACCCAAGGAGAAGAAGGTGAAGAAGAAGGAGCAGCCTCCACCCTAAACCCTCCATCTTGCTTGATATCTGTTACTGCATTCTAAACCCTTAAACTCTGAGTTTCCCAGCCTGTGATATCACACACTTCTATTCAAACTGCACACCCACAATCTCAGTTTTATTATTGAATTTTGGAAGCTTCTCCAGGCCCTCAGGTCAGTGCAGTGCTCTCCTGGGGGTCAGTGCCTGGCAGCACAGAGAGTCTGGAATTCTCAGCAGCCATGGTTCCAGCAGGAAGGAGCTGGTGGCATCCAGCTCATCTCAGGTGTCCCTGGCTGCTCCTCCCCACAGGGCCTGTCCCCAGCAGTGTCCCAGGCTCTGCTCCTGCCCTGGGCACAGCCTGGCACAGGGTGGGGGTGCCCATTCCCAGCACCGAGGGGTCACCATCAGACTCTTCCCCTCCTTTTCCCTTCGGGGTGGGTAACACCTGGCACCAGAGGCAGGATGAGACCAGATGGAGCTGTTGTGCATTAAAATGCACATTTAAATGCACATTTAAATGCACATCCACCATTCTAAGCCCTGCTGGCAGCATTTCAGGCTCCATTTTCCAAGATCCACAGCAGTTTTGTGTCTCCTGGCTGCTGGCAGCTGCTCAGCACTGCAGAGTGGGAGGAAAACCACAATGGCAACTTTTGAGCAGCTCTCAGCTTTGCCACCTACAAAACGAGGCTTTCCTGACACAAACAAGGCTTTTCTAAGCCAGCAGTGCAGCTGGCCCAGCATTTTTGAGAATTCTCATCCCCTGGCAGTGCTGGAGGCACTCCCAGTGGTTGTGGGGGAAGAGAGCACAGGGATTTGTCCAGGGAGGTTCCTCAGGTTCACAGGGAGAACCAGACAATTTATCCAGCCCTTGCCATGCATCCCTCCAGCTCCTGCCAGCCCCAGGCCAGGTCCTTTCTTCCAGCCATCGAGCTCTTTGTGAAGGTGAGCACTGGGCAGTGTTTGTTAAAAAAAAAACAAACCAAAACTCAGGAGGACTTTTTGTTGCATTTGAGATTTGTTTGATAGCACTGAGCTCTTTGTGAAGGTGAGCACTGGGCAGTGTTTGTTAAAAAAAAAAAAAAACCAACCAAAACTCAGGAGGACTTTTTGCTGCATTTGAGATTTGTTTGATAGTGTGTGTTTGTTTATGGAGGAGTTTTTGCTGTATTTGAGATTTGTTTGATAGCACTGAGCTCTTTGTGAAGGTGGGCACTGTGCAGTGTGTGTTTGTTTATTGAGGAGTTTTTGATGTATTTGAGATTTGTTTGATAGCACTGAGCTCTTTGTGAAGGTGGGCACTGTGCAGTGTGTCTTTATGGAGGAGTTTTTGATATATTTGGGGTTTGATAGCACTGAGCTCTTTGTGAAGGTGGGCACTGTGCAGTGTGTGTTTGTTTATTGAGGAGTTTTTGATGTATTTGAGATTTGTTTGATAGCACTGAGCGAGGGGAAAAGGACAAACAGAACTGGTTTGATTTGTGTGTCTTGTTGGGTTGATAAGGACTGCAAATCCTAATGAATTAACCTATTAACTGTGAGACACTTGGGTTTTAATACTTCTGCCCCTGATTTAATCTCAGTTTTAAAGCTGTGCATTAGGAGAATCATGTGAAGGGCTTAAAAATGAGACCCCTGATCTCTTGCAGTGTTACACCAAGTCTCACTCAGCAGCACCTCTGCAAGACTTTTCCTCCTTTTAACAAAGCCTCTTAACAAATTGCAACATAAATTACCTGAGAGCAGCACTTCCATGGCCACCTTCTCCAGGGCTCCCAGAGCCCTTCAGGTTGAAATTCTAAATTAATTGATTTATTCTGCTTGTTCCCTTCAGTGCTTTAGACATCATATCTCTGTTTAGGCTGGTAAATATTTCCCTGTTCCTTTCCTGTGGTCATAAAGTGATTTAACTCATTTTAATCTTGCAGTGACTCGTGCAGATTTATGAACACATAGACAAACGAGGTGGAGGCTGTTTCCTCTGGAGGGACTGCTGTGATTTACACACAAATGTGTTTATAATTTTTCCAATTGTAGGCCGGCAGTGATGGGGAAAGTATTGGGAACTGCCCGTTCTCTCAGCGCCTCTTTATGATCCTGTGGCTCAAAGGTGTCATTTTTAATGTCACAACCGTGGATCTGAAAAGGTGAGATTGTCATTTTTAATTCTGACCTTTTAACTGTGTAGCACAACTTTCCCAAAACAGGGATTTTAAATGATGACTCTTTTCTGCCAGGCTGGGAGAGCTGAGTGTGTCCAGCCTGGAGAAGAAACAGTTCTGGGGAGACCTTAAAGCCCCTTCCAGTGCCTCCTAAAAAGGAGGGAGAGGGACTTTTTATGGCTTTTTCTTTTCCAGAAAACCTGCAGACCTGCAGAACCTGGCCCCGGGCACCAACCCCCCGTTCATGACCTTTGATGGGGAGGTGAAGACCGATGTCAACAAGATCGAGGAGTTCCTGGAGGAGAAGCTGGCGCCGCCCCGGTACCGCATTCCCGACCCCTCAGGGCTGCAGGGGAGATCCCAGGGGCTGCTCCAGCTCAGGGGGACTCTGAAACAGAGCTGGAATGTCACTGGGGTGTCCCCAGGCTGTCCCCAGGTCACGGCTGTGCTGTTCCCACTGCTGTCCTTCATCCCGAGCTCGCTGCTGGGTCATTCCCGGGGCATGGAATCCATCCTGGGGAAACCTGACCTGTTCCCTGCTCCGACCTGGCCTCGTCTGAGGCTCCCCCCTCTTCACACCACGCAGATCATTGTGCTTCCTGGGTGCAGGCAGGTGGAAGCTCAGGGTGACCTTGCTGCTCTCTAAAACCACCTGAAGGACACTGCTGCGAGGTGGGGTCGGGCTCTTCTGCCATGGCCCAGGTCATGTCCTTGAGGAAATGGCCTCAAGTTATGCCAAGGGAGGTTCAGATTGGAGATTGGAAAAATGTTTTCCCTTCAAGAGTGCTCAGGCATTGGAATAAGTTGCCCAGAGTGGATCATCATCTCTGGAAGGGTTCCAGTCATCTGGATGTGGCCCCGGGGACATGGTTTGGGGTGGGGATGGTGGCACTGGATGGTCTGAAGGTATTTTCCAACCTGGTGATTCTGGGATTCTGTGAAGCTGAGGGCAGTGAACACCTCAGTGCTGGGGCTCTTTGAGTGTCCACGGGGGTCCACATGAGGGTCTGAGTTTTGGATTTGTCCTCCCCCACCCCAGCAGCTCTTCCCACCTCGCCCAAACCCCTCTGTCCCTCCATTGTCCCAGCACTGTGTCCCCTAAACCAGAGACCTCTTCTCCTCTGGGGTATCAGTCCTCTCCCTGTGCTCCCTTCTCAAGCAGCCAAACTTAACTTAAACCAGGGAAGCAGCTGCTTGCCTCCACTTTTTTTTTTTCCATTTTTCTCCATCCCTGGCAGCTCCAGCTCCTGGAATGGCTGCTGCTAGCTGCTGATGGCCTCAGTGGGCTGGGCCAGGGGCCCGAGAGGAGCAGCAGCTCCTGAGAGTGGGGATTTTCCCTGCACTCCTCCTCATGGCAGGATCCACCTACCAGGCAGCCTCACCTCTGGAGGAGAAAGCCTGGGAGACACCCTGGGGTGTTTGGGCAGTGCTTGCAACAATAAAAATCAGGAAAAGATTATTTAGGTAGCGTTTAAAATAAGTGATTTTCAGTTTAGGATTTAGTTTAAGTTCCCTTTGAGTCCTGTGTGGCTCTATGTTGTCACCCTACAAATAAAAGTGTATTAATTAGTGGAGACAAAAATAAAGGATAATTGGGTCACTTCTTTTTGTTTCTCTGAACTTCTCAGGTATCCCAAACTTGCACCGAAGCACCCCGAGTCGAACTCTGCAGGAAATGACGTCTTTGCAAAATTCTCTGCATTTATAAAGAACCCGAGAAAAGATGCAAATGAAAGTAGGTGCTGCAGTGCTGTCTTCAGCCCTGGGAGGGAGGAACCAGACCTGTGCAGCTGTAGGACACTGCTGGAGATGTCCCATTTCCAGCTCAGGTTGAAGTGTTATTCCAGAGGGTTGAAGCTTTGGAAATCTGTGGAAATCCTTCTTTAATGGAGGATTCCAAGAGTTGGTGAAAGCAGATACTGCTGTCACCATGGCAGCACCAATTCCAGCCTCTCCTCACTCCTTCAGCTCTGGGGTCTGTGAGGCTGCACCTTTCCCACAGCTCTGCCAAAAGCCCAAAAGGGAGGGATTCCTATTTCCATAAATTATGAGGACTCCAGCCATTGGCACATCCCTAAAGCAGAACCCTCATGACCACCATGAATGGCCCTAGGCTGGAGGAAGGCAGGGTGAGATGAAATATTGGGGAAAAATCCTTTCCTGTGAGGGTGGTGAGGCCCTGGCACAGGTTGGATGTGGTCTCCCCATCCCTGGAAGTGTCCAAGTCCAGGCTGGATGGGGCTTGGAGCAGCCTGGGACAGTGGAAGGTCCCCACAGCTCTGCCAAAAGCCCAGCCCGCTGGAAGGGAGGGATTCCATAAATTATGAGGACTCCAGCCATTGGCACATCCCTAAAGCAGAACCCTCATGACCACCATGAATGGCCCTAGGCTGGAGGAAGGCAGGGTGAGATGAAATATTGGGGAAAAATCCTTTCCTGTGAGGGTGGTGAGGCCCTGGCACAGGTTGGATGTGGTCTCCCCATCCCTGGAAGTGTCCAAGTCCAGGCTGGATGGGGCTTGGAGCAGCCTGGGACAGTGGAAGGTGTCCCTGCTGTGGCAGGGGTGGCCCTGGATGGGCTTTGAGGTTCCTCCCACCCCAAACCATTCCAGGATTCTGTCTCTGTCCTTCAGCTCTCTGTTCCTTGGGTTGGCTTTGAACACCCCAAAGTGGCATCCCAGGGTCCTGCTGTTGTCACTCCAGCCCTGCTGCCCTGCCTGGCTTTGAACACCCCAAAGTGGCATCCCAGGGTCCTGCTGTTGTCACTCCAGCTGTGCTTCCCTGCCTGGCTTTGAACACCCCAAAGTGGCATCCCAGGGTCCTGCTGTTGTCACTCCAGCCCTGCTGCCCTGCCTGGCTTTGAACACCCCAAAGTGGCATCCCAGGGTCCTGCTGTTGTCACTCCAGCTGTGCTTCCCTGCCTGGCTTTGAACACCCCAAAGTGGCATCCCAGGGTCCTGCTGTTGTCACTCCAGCCGTGCTGCCTGCCTTGGGCAAGCACTGGCCCCGGGGCAGGAGTCAGTGTGAAGTCAGGGCCTGGCCATGGTGCCAAACCCCACCCCACAGAGCGGTTTGAGGAGCCATTCCTGGTAACACAGCCCCAGGATGGGTTTTTCCCAGAACTCCCTTTAGCTCCTTAGAGCCCTTATCCCAGCATTAAGGTTTAAGCCTAGGATCAAGGAATTGCAGGAGCTGGCACAGCCAGATGTCTGGGCTGGTGCCAGGAGACAGGATGCAGGAGTCGCTTGGTGTCACAAGGACCTTGGTACAGGCTTGAATGATCTTTTTATTGTCTTAACCCAGATCTGGAAAAATCTTTGCTTAAAGCCCTGAAGAAGCTGGACAACTATTTAAATAGCCCCTTGCCTGATGAAATCGATGCTTACAGCACGGAGGAGATCACTGCTTCCAGCCGGAAATTCCTGGATGGAGATGAGCTCACTTTAGCAGATTGCAACCTCCTACCAAAGCTCCACATTATCAAGGTTTGCATTTGCTTTTTTAGCCTCCTGGAGAGAAGCAGCTGATATCCTTTTCTAGATTGTAGAAACCCCCCACCAAAAAATTCCCTTGGAGGGGAGAACCTTAAAAAGAACCTTAAAAAGTTTTGTGCTAGGATTGAGAGACGGACAGGACTTTTGGATTTTGGTCTTCAGGTTGTTGTTTATTTTTCTTTTATCAATAGTTTAGTACACCTCTGCATCTCAGAGTACAAAGAGGAAGACACCAAAAGCCACAAGACACAGAGCCTGAAGGTCTTTTAAAGCTATTTTGTTCAATTAACTTTTAGAACATATTTTGTTTCTACCTTTCTACCAATAACGAATTATTTGTCTGTTCACACAACATCTGATTGTGGCTCTTTCTAACCAATCACCCTGTGCCTCCAACACTGCAGAAAATGGAGCAGATGAAGAACAAGAAGCAGATCAGACAATGCCCCAAATCCTCCATCTTGTCTCCCATCCACCTCCATACTAAAACCCCAAACCTCTGAGTGTTTCACCCTGTGATAAACTCTCCTACTGTCTATTTCACACACACAGCTTCCAATTAATCCCAGAGTCTTGGAAGCTTTCTCCATGCAGGAAGGTTAAAAGCAGTGCTCTCCTGGGGGTCAGGACTTCTCCAAACAAGCAGAGGAATATTCCCTGTGCTCTGGCTTCCAACACTAGATGGCAGAGGGATCCTTTCTCTATTCTGGGGGCACGGCCAGGGACACCGAGGCCGTTTCCTTACAGCACAGCCAGGGTGACCCTCAGTTTGATGGCTGCAGGTCTGGAAGAGCTGTTCCATATCTGTGCTGTGACTGCAGTGGCTGAGCTTCTCCCAGCCACAGGGATGAGATGAGTGCTGGATTCAGGGCAGTTCTCATCTGCGTTTCACAAGCAAAGTGCGCATGACCGCAGCCAAGGAAGGTTACCTCGTATTGTCCATCCCAATTTTTGTCTCTCCTGTATTTTATTTCCAGTTCTGACAGGGTGGCCTCCCAGGCCTCCCAGGCAAGGCTCCCAGCCTCCTCTTGCAGGACTGTGGAGCATCCACACACATCTGAACAGCTCCAGTGGCCTGGGACTGGTGTTGTCACAGCCCAGAAGGCTGGAGAGGGGTTTTCCACAAGGACATGGCGTGCCAGGACAAGGGGAAATGGCCTTGACTTGAAGGAGAGAAGGGTTAAATAGGGTATTGGGAAGGAGTTCCTCCCTGGCACAGGGTGCCCAGAGCAGCTGGGGCTGCCCCTGGATCCCTGGCAGTGCCCAAGGCCAGGTTGGACACTGGGGCTGGAGCAGCCTGGGACAGGGGAAGGTGTCCCTGCCATGGCAGGGGTGGAACAAGATGATCTTTAAGGTCCCTTCCAACCCAAACCATTCTGTGATTCCGTGATTCTACTCTGCAAAGCTCTGGAAGAGAAATGACCACACTGGAATTTCACTGGTTTTCAAACAACAAGGTCACTTCAGGAAGTTTCCTGTTAGACTCTGCTCTGTCACAGCAAGAGGGGATCCAATCTCTTTCCAACACCTCCACAGGTGAAAACTTTGCCCAGCCATCCCCTGGCTGATCCTACTGCAGACAGCAGCCAGGGATGAGCCAGGGATGAGCCCTCTCCCACACTCAGGCATGGCAAACCTTGGGAGGCAGCCGGGGCCAGCACGGGGGAGAATCCCCTCGGGTCAGGGGCATGTCTGGAGAGGGACACAGGAGCGATGTCACACTGCCACATCACCCCTGCTGTCTGCAGGCAGGCATCAGGGCTCAGCCAAGAGTCGTCTTCCCTGATCATTTGAAATTAAGGCTTTTAATTAATATTTTTCCTGTTTCTGTGATGGTTTTCAAGTGTGGGCCAGTTTATTTCTGTAGGTTTATTTTGTTCATTCTGGCTTAAGTTTGCTGGGTTAACCTGTACCTCTTCCAGTTTGTTTTACTGGTCCACATGGCTTTGTGTATCTTTGGCAAGATATAGACAGAAATAGAGATACAGGCACAAAACAAATCCTTTACAGGGAGTTCAGCAACTTTCTCCACCCCATATCTTCTTTTTAGGTCTTTGCCTCTTCTTTCCCCTTAGTCACCAACAACACCAGACTCACATGCTGGAAATTAAAAATGGGCATAAAGAGTAGGCTTGGGATGTTTGGGTTTTTTTGCAGATTGTGTGTGTAATGATGTTTTTCTTCTTTATCCTTTTTTCTTGTAATGAAAGGTCGTTGCAAAAAAATACCGAAATTTTCACTTCCCACCTGAAATGACAGGGATTTCCAGATACTTGAAAAATGCATATGCAAGAGATGAATTCACAAACACGTGCCCTGCTGACCAGGAGATTGAATACGCTTATTTGGATGTGGCAAAGAGAATGAAGTGACCTGAAGATGCCTCTGTTTATTGCTTCTGTGATGGACAACAGCCAAGCTGGAAAAGCAAAAACCAGCAGAGATTCTGCAGTGTGATTTTAAGTTCTGCTATTGGCCAATCCTTTTATAATGATTGTATTGCATTATTTACTCCTTCTTAAATTGTGTGTGTGTGTTTGTGTGTCTTGCACGCTGGAAAGTCGGTTGTCCCTTCCAAGGAAAAGGCATCCATCAATGGTAAAAGTTTGTAGGATTTAGGGGAGCAGTGTAGGCCACACACTTACAATACCACAGACTAAATAAAAGGCTTCCATCAATGGTAAAAGTCTGTAGGATTTAGGGGAGCAGTGTAGGTCACACATTACAGCAGTACCACAGACTAAATCGTTGCATTTTGGGAAGAATTAGGCCTGTTTGAACACTTGGAACCTGTTGTCAGTGCTGCCTCTGGTCTGTGCTCCACAGCTCTTGACAAACCTCACCTCTGGCTGGATGGTTTCTCTCTGCTTCACTGCCCTGACCCAGGGGAGAGCCCAACCTGCAGCTGGGAGCACACCTGATGTCCCCCAGGCCTCTCCTCTGGGCTGGAGCCCTGCAGGGCAGCTCCACCATGAACAATTCCATTTCCCATTGCAGGAGTCTCCTTTGGTGTGGAAAAGACAGAAAGAAAGGAGAATTGCTGCCTTCCCCTCTCTCAGGGCTGCAGAAGTCCTCAGACTTCCCTCCTGCTGCTCCCACAGAGAGGAACGCTGGCCTAGGGACTCTCTGCTGTTGGATTTTGGGCAAGGGAGGAGGGGGACACTTGGCTGTCGCTGTGGACAGCAGAAGTGGGTGAAAACCCAGTCCCAAATACTCATGTGGGATTTGTCATCCTTCAGTGATTCTTATTTGGTCTTGGAAAGCAGAGAGGAGGAGGAGAGGGCCCAATAAAGGAACAATCCTTTGTGCATTCTCTGTTGGTATTTTCCACCTCTGTCGAGGTCGGGATTGAAGATTGAAGGCACTTGGGACGGTGTTTCGTGTTTGGACTCAGGTGTTTATTGTTTCTTATCAGTGTAACAGCCTCACAACTGAGAGTTCTGCAGCCTTTCATTAGCAAGGCACAAAATGGCTAACCATCTTTTGTTACAAGGTCTTTTAAGGCTAAACTATCCAATTACGAAATGACACCTAGATTATTTTCCCTTTTCCCAGTTCCCAATAACTGATCACTCGAAGCCCTCAATGCAGACTTTTCTGTCCAATTACAAAATACCACCCAAACCCATGGAGAAGAAGGAAGAAGGTGAAGAAGAACAACCTGTCTCCACCCTAAAACCTCCATCTTGCTTCATATTGATTTCTATATTCTAAAACCCCACACTCTTAAGTTTTCCACCCTCTGATATTACACACTTCTAACCAACTACACGCCCATAAACCCAGTGCTAATAATCAATTTTGGCAGCCTTCTCCACAGCCTCAGGTCAAATGCAGTGCTTTCAGCGAGTCTGTGCCTTTCAGCACGAAAAGTTTAAAATTCTCAGCATCCAGGATTCCAACAATCCTTCTGTACCCCTGCCAGGAGGGGGCAGCCAGGTGGGACCGCCTCAGGTCAAATGCAGTGCTCTCTGCGAGTCTGTGCCTTTCAGCACGGAAAGTTTAAAATTCTCAGCATCCAGGATTCCAACAATCCTTCTGTACCCCTGCCAGGAGGGGGCAGCCAGGTGGGGATCGGGCTCTGCTCCCAGGGAACAGGAACAGGATGAGAGGAAATGGCCTCAAGTTGTGCCAGGGGAGGCGCAGGTTGGACACCAGGAGCAAGAAAGGCATGGAAAGGGTGCTCAGGCCTTGGGAAGAGCTGCCCAGGGAAATTTGGAGTGCCAATTCCTGCAGGTGGCCAAGGAAGGCCTGGAGGTGACGCGTCACTGTTGCTCAGGAATGACACGAGAAAAGGTGAGAGGCAATATTGTAGAAAGAGCAAAAGACGGATAATTAATTACATTATTATACTACATTATTCTATACTATATTACACTGCAAATAAACTGAAACTGAACAAGAACTCAACTGAACAAATCTCGTGACTGTCTTCTGACCGACAGTCAGGACACAGCTTGCAGAGATTGGTCAAGAAAACAAAACACACCAGAATCCAATTACCAAATCCCTTCAGGTAAGCAATCTTCCAAAATGCCTTCCACTTGTGCGCAAACACAGCAGCAGCAAATGAGATAAGAGTTCTTTTGATCATTCTTTTCACTGCTTCTGCAGGAAAAAATCTGAGAGAATTGTCTCTCTCTGTTCGGAGAATGTGAATCCCACAGTGGCACTGAGCGCTCTGGGCTGGGGACGAGGTGGGCATGGGGCACAGCTGGCACTGCCTGGGCTGGGAGGGCTTTGCCAACTCAGGGATTTGAGGAATCTGTGAGAGTTATCCCAGAAGAAAGCAAACCTAATCCCGGTGAAAGGCCGTGGAAAGCCCATGAGCAGCCCAGGAGCAGCCCGAGACTGGAGGTGCCCAGAGCGGCTCCAGCCAGGGCTGCCCAGCAGGAGCAGCAGAGCCGCAGAGCTGCTGCTGCAGAGCTGCCTGCGCTGATTTGGGCTCTATTTGGGGAATCTGTGAGAGTTATCCCAGAAGAAAGAAAACCTGATCCCGGAGAAAGGCTGTGGCCTGGAGCAGCCCTGAGGCTGGAGGTGCCCAGAGCGGCTCCAGCCAGGGCTGCCCAGCAGGAGCAGCAGAGCCGCAGAGCTGCTGCTGCAGAGCTGCCTGCGCTGATTTGGGCTCTTGGGCCGCACAGCCCCGTGCAGCTGCTGCCGCAGGGATGTGTCGGGAGCAGCACAGAGCTGCTGCTGCCTCGGCTGGGGCTGCGGCGGGGGAAGCCCTCCCGCCCGGCACAAGGCTGCTGCAGGCAGGCAGGGCTGCTGAGGAACAGCCCCAGCCCGGCTCCCGGGCCACGGGCAGCGTTGTCCCAGCGGGGCTGTCTTTGTTTTCTTCTTACTACAATTTCTTATTACTCTTCTTCTCTGCTACTTCTATATATTTTTAAATTCTTATTCCTATTCCTATTTCTATTCTTCTTTTTCTTCTTATTCTACATATTTTTATTTCTTATTCCTATTCCTATTCTTCATCTTCTTCTTCTAAGTATTTCTAAATTCTTATTACTACTCTTCTTGTATCTATTCTAAGCCTTCTCTGACTTGTCTTCTTAATCTTTGTCTTCTTCCTCTTTGTCCTCTTCTTCTTCTTCACCTCTTTTGTCTTTGTCTTCTTCACTGTCTTTGTCTTCTTCATCTGCCATGTCATCTCTCTCTTCTTCGTTTTCTTCTTTGTCTTTGTCTTCTCTGTCAGAGCCCCGGGTCACTCATCCTGTTCTCTGGAAGGACCTCAATGTCCTCTGTCACTGAGGATAGCTCCAGGTCACTTGCGCTGTCCTCTGGAGAGACCTGGATGTCCTCTTCCACTGAGGACAGCTCCTGGTCACTTCTGCTGTCCTCTGGAATGTCCTCGATTGCCTTTTCCACTGAGGACAGCTCTGGCTCAGCATTGCTGCCAGTTGGAGAGGGCTCGATGACCTCTTCTACTTGGGACAGCTCCTCATGGTAGGATGAGGGACAAGGCTGGGTGTTCTCATCCTTCACTGGGCACACAGGCTTCCCCCTAGAACTGGAGCTCACATTGTCCTTCCTTAGCAACTGCTCTTGGTCTTCCAACTCTTCTCCTTGGGACAGGAGAGGCTCGGGGGACTCCTCCTCAGCAGCTCCCGCTGGGGCAGCAGCTGCCGGCTCGGCCTCCGGGGGACTCTGGAGGGAAGGAGAGGCGCTGGTTAGGGCAGGCACTGCCTCTGCTGCCACCTCTGTGCCCACGGGGCTGGCAGAGCTGAGGCTGAGGCTCCTCGGCACTCACTGCTAGCAAGGCTCTGGCCCACATCTCAGAGCTGATGCCATTTCTCCATTGGGACAGCTCCTGCCTGCTCACATCTTCCTCCCATTGGGAAAGCTTTCGCTCTCTCCCATTGTCCCACCAGGGCAGCTCTTGGGCTGCAACGTCTGCTCCTTGGCACAGCTCCTTGGCACTGCTGTCTCTTGCCTGGACAATCCCAGTTCTCTCCTGTCTTCCCATCGGGACATGTAGGAGTGCACATCTTATTCCCTTGGTGAGAGCTCTTGGTACCACTCATCTTCCCTCTAGGAAAGCTCTCAGTCATCGTCCTATTGGGAATCCTCTGGGACACTCACATATCCATATCCACACTCACTCCCCTTTACAGGGATGGCATGGAGGATCTCTTGTCTTCTCCCCATCCCAACTATTGCTGCCTACTCACATTTGTTTCCCATTGGGATATCTATTGGCTCAGCACACATTCTTCCCTCTCGCACACCTCTTGCTACATCTCACTCTCCTCTCCCCACTGGTACAGTTCCCGGTTTATGACTGTTTCTTCCCGTTCGCAGAGCTCTTGCTGTGTGCCGCCCCTTTACTGGGAAACTTCCCAAACTCTCACACGCACCTGGCATTTGTACAGCTCTTGGTTGCTCCTGGCTCCACGCCGAGACATTTCCTGGACTCCCAGTACTTCTCTCAGATACGTCTCTTGCCCTCCGGCCAGCTGTGCAAGTGGCTGGCGACTGGGAGTTGGCGTTGGCCTTTTCCACGTCGCTATCCTTGTCTGTCACTGTCGGCCTTGATCGCTGTTGGCATCCAGCGCAGACAGACCCAGGGAGCTGCTTCCTCCTCAGAGAGCGGCTCTCCTGGGAAGCTGCACAGTCACACGGCTACCCCCGGGCCAAATCCCCTGTGCTGATACCGAGCCGGGGGTGTGCGATGGGACAAGAAATACACTTGTCTTTTTAAACTTAAATTTGCTTCTTGTGCTTTTTATTTTTATTTGTCTTATTTCAATTTTAGAAACTTTGAAGCATAACTGAGCAGTAACAAGGAAAAAAATCAACAGCTGAGTACAAGGCTTCAGAATTGGTGTGGAACAAGTGGAGGACTCACACGCTTCAGACGTGTGTGCACACAGGCACAAAAGCACCTC